CAAACGTGGCCATTTTAAAGATGAGTGACCTCCACCCCCAAAATTCCCCCACCCAGCATTGTTGGGTGGGGATTTCTGGGAGTTGAAGTCCACTCATCTTAAAGTGGCCAAGTTTGGACAACACTGCGTTAGTGTAAACATTAGCCCACCCTCGTTCAGTCACACTCCAGTGCCAAAGTTTGTCCTGAAATGTTAATTTAACTTGCTTCCTTCGGTCATATGATAGAAAGGCTGCAGTTGTGATATGCCATTTTAGATGAATTGTCCAACACAGAATGTATATTTTGAAAACTTTCAAGCAGGGAGAAAATTGGGATGAGGTAAGAAAGGTGTAATTCTGCTATTTCATCAGTCATCTAATACTATCATACGAATGATTTTCATAAAACTCGGATCAGTAAGAAGGAATTTTAGGAATTTGTATTGAATAGTTTTACATCTAATGAAGAATAGTTTAATATCTTATATCCAATGAAGAATTTTAAAAAATTCAACTGTGACTAATAAACCAAAGGATTGTTATTATTTTTAAATACATTTAAATAACTATAAGATAGGACATCAAAAGGAGAATCTGGTAATTTAAACCAAAGGAGCCAGAACACTGATCATAGGCATAGGTCAGAACCCAGATGATTAGTGGAATTTGGTATGTTTGTTGATACATTCTGTATTATCTTCTCTGTAGGCTTTGACTAACTTGCCCAGTAGGGCCCAGTACTGCTACAATTCCAAGGAGACAGGAAAAAAAAAAAGTATTTGGACTAATAGAGCATTATCATGTAATTGTAGAAGATTCAGTGTACATTTCAGGGGTAGATATAATTATCTATAAATAGTGAAACCTATTTCAAAATTAGAAACATTTATCTACAGTACTTGGTTATGGGATAATAATTTTTTTTTAAGTGTTGCCATACACAAATGGAAACATACCACAGTTAGAGATGGGTGACTTCATCTGGCAGGTGTTTCAAAAACCATTTCATCCCCCCCCCCCCAATGCTCCTGATGAATGCATGATCAATCTTTTAGGTGTTCAACAGAATCCTTCTCTGTTGTCAGATCACTCTTTTCTATCCTGAATGGAAGAAGCTTACCTTAAAGTTTAAAAGATTTAATGGGCAGGGGCAAGGAAGGCTCCTGAACTAGGGATACTGAGATCTACAGCCTTCCTGTAGCTCCTGGGGATGGAGCTAGTGAGATGTAGCAGGTAAGGTGTTGGACTAAGAATGAGGAGATGCAGGTTCAAATCCACCTGTAGCCATGGAAACTCACTGGGGGATTGGGGGGCTAGTCACTCTCACTCAGCTCAGTTTACTTCACAGAATTGAAAGAAAATCCCTATATATGCTGTCTCATGCTCTTGGAAGAAAGGCAGGTATAATTCAAGCAAATGAATAAATCTTGTAGCATCACTCAGCATAGGCAGTAACAAGGGATGGTGGAAGTGATAGTCGAGCACCATGTGGAAGGCCACCAGTTCTCTTTTCCTGTCCTTAGTACAGGATGGTTTGGTCATTTTCTCTGTCTTTTGAACTGATCTCTATGGCAGAAAAAAATAAACCCCTATCCATGGGCTTGTACTTTCTCTAAAAATTTTTAAAAAAATAAAATAAAAAAGACAGGTACACACTAATCGGTGTTGTCTAAATACTTTTTGATGAACAACTTTATATTTAAGAAGCACATATTTTAAATTCACAGAAGTCTTCTGCTCCAGCATTTCATGCAAACTCATGAAATAGGATTAGAAAGCAGAAACTACTGTCCCACGCTCCTAACAGATAATTATGGTTAAAAGGATGAGACTGGTACTTTTTTCTATTTCTTCCTTTTATAGAGGAAACATAAAAACCACAAAGTTCATGAGCTCTGGCAGGACATGACACTCTTGGGGATGTTCAGGAGTCTCATTTCCAGCTAAGAACAGACCACCAAAAGCCACTCCTGGATCTAATAATTCTTCTTAGCCACTGGGTAATTTTACTCCTTTAGCAAAGTTGCAACTTTTTGCTTGTGAGGTGGCAAGGGGTTGGTGGGCTGGCAGTGCTGGCTAGCCAAAGTGGTGAAGTGATTCATTTGGAACCAGATCCAAAACTGAAGGGGTCTTCTATTTTTCTAAAACAAGAATTGTTATTTATTTTAGATTTGTTTTATCCCATTTTTTAGTTTCAGAGAAGGACGTTGCTTAAAGTAACGTACAACAAAAGAGTAATTCATGTCTTTCTAAAGAGAATAAAAACACACGAACAATGCAACAGCAGTAGCAACAAGTTACCAACCTCAGATCAGTAGTCAATAAATCAGAGTATGCAATAGCAGAGTTAAATGCTTGTCCCAAAATGAATCTTTTCTGTTGACAGTAGAAAGAGAGTTAGATCTTTGTGCCTGAGCACAATATGCACGCAAGAGCAAAAACCCTTTATGTATGTTGCCACAGGTCATGTTGTGAAACCAGTGGTACACACACATACACAAGGGGAGCACATGAGCTAATTTTAGAAGATGGTCAGGTTCAGATGGGAATTGCAACCAGAATCCATTCCTCTTTGGACTTGAAAGAGGATAATCGGTACAGCAAAAAGGTGTTTCATCACATGTGGGGCATGAATATAGTGATTCCTTATCCACATTTTTCTTGGGATTGCACAGCTGTTGCTAAGGGCAGTTGCATGATCCCTGGAAAAGACTGCTTTAAATAATTGCAGACAGATGCTACATTCAACCTCACACCTCTATGCACTCTAAAAACAGCTATCAGCTAGCACAGCTGACAGACTGCAGATCTGAGTCTTTTCTCTTAGCTGAAAATTTAGCAGCAGTATACTACACTAGTAGAAGTTTCTGAGGGCTTTTCAGATGTAGCCCCACTTATATGGCAATGCATGTAAAGCTACAGTGAGATCTGATCATCCAAGAATAACATTGAGCAAAAGTATTTTGGATCTATTTCATCCTTATAACAATTATTGTCAATGTTCTAGTTCTTTCAGAAAAAAGAAGATGGGGTCATTTACTCAGGTACCATAGCAGAAAGAATTAAGTTTCTGTTTGAGAAGCTTGAATTCTTTTCCTTTCGTCCTGCTATTCTATAGGCCTAAATAGGGATAGATGTACTGTCTGCTGCTGTATGCTGTCTCCATCATGAAAAAGTCAAGAACTGGATTTGGAGTTTGTCTTGCCATATCCAGTCCTGCAGCAGCATTAAGTTTGTAACACTGTGCTCCTGTGATACTGGCACGTTGAAGAGGAGAGCAAGGCAAAGTAACTGTTACACTTATAATTCCCTGGTTTCTTTGCACATGATAATAGACCAAGTTTTAAATCGAATGGCTGAAGAGGCCTGTGTGCCTCCCTGGTAATACTGTACAACACTTTGGAAAGCAACTGTCACCCAGTGCAGCTAATACAGCGCTGATCCCAACATTTCTTCTAATCAAAAGTAGGTGAATACTTCTGCATGGTTTATAAGAAGGGAAACCACAATCAACCACCTATTCTATTGATTTCTTCACTTGGAAGATTGGGCCTCTGTTAATAACTTGAAATGCACTGTTGGGTATGTCTGAAACTTCTACTGAGAGTTTTATCATGTAATTCAGTTTTCTAGCATAATTTCCCTGATGGGCCAATGTGACATTACAGACCATTATTAGAATAACATGCATATATGTTACCAACTCATTAAAAATAAAGCATGTAAGAACTGTGCATATGTATATATGTGCGTGAGGAAGGGAAAAGCAGAGAAGTATCAAATAAACTGTAATGAGTGTTTTAGCATTTGATTTCTTTATTTCAACTATTTCTTTAACAATTTTTTTAGAAAAGCAATCTGTGTGAAAGGAAAGAAAACAGCCTGAAAAACTGTGTCTACAATATCCATTGTGACAATAGTGTTAATGGAGATTGCCTTCTGTAATGTTCACAGAACCTGTATTAATGCTGAGTTTCTTTCTTTAGACGCCTGAACAGAAATAAACTGCAAGTTCTTCCAGAACTGCTTTTTCAGAACACACTGAAGCTAACCAGACTGTAAGTATAGTTTTTATTTTTGGCATCCTATATGTGCTTTGGTTCTTAAGTCAGCAATTTTGGCCATGAGGTTTTCGTATGATGACTTCTTGAAGTGGATTTTGAAATGTGTCTTGGTTTATTATATAAAACCTTTTGCTGGGAAACATTTACTTGTCTTTTTACTACTCTGTAGATTAATTGTGAAGTAGAAGCTGCCTTTGGATATATTTCTGCTTCTCTTACCTTCTCTAATGTGGCTACGAGTAGATCACAAACTTCCACTTCCAGTTTAGATTAACACACTGTGAAACTGGGGGTTAATCTTAACTACGTTTGTGTGGTACGAGATAGGTTCATAAGTCTCACAAAAGTTGGCTTTCCTCAAACAAAGCATTCTTAAAATTAATTACTGTTTGTCAAACTGTGATTAATAATAAAAGTGGATTTGAAGTTTCTTAATTTCCTCACATGCTGGCACCTTGTAGGAGAGCCATATTAGTCTATGGTGGTGAAAAGTCTGATGAAGTGAGCTGCAGCGCATGAAAGCTTACATCTTTTAATAAAATTAATTACTTGGAAAAGGCGCTACCAAAGTCTGATTTTTCACATGCTGAGGAAGGAGAGAAAAAAAGAATGTGAGCACCTGGGGAGCACCTTCACTCCTGTTATGAAGAGCTATGGTTGGTGATGAAGTCTGAAGAAACAAATTAGTTTTGGATGTAGGAGTTTAGGAAATTGATGTCCATAAAGACATTGATTTTGATACCAGTAATGGCTTTGCCATAGCAGTAGGACAGCTGTGATTATTATCATCTCTCATGAACCTTGCTGTATTTGTTCAGTATGTACTTGAAGTAAACAAGGTCATGCCTTTCTATTCTCAGCATCTCTAGACCAAAGATCTAATCATAATTTGCATTACAGTACAAATCATTATTATATAAAGGAATTGTAATATTTGTGGGTCATAATGATATGACCTCAGCAACAAAAGACTTTTGTTTTAAAGGCCATTTATTGTATTTCTTAACAGTATTTTATTCTGATTCATAAAAGGTTCATCTACATAAGAATCTGTGCAGATATGCATCTGTATCCTGGATACATTAATATTATATATCTATTCTATCTATCTATCTATCTATCTATCTATCTATCTATCTATCTATCTATCTATC